GCAGCGCCCGTCCGGCCCGGCCCCGTCCCTGTCCCGTTCCGGGGCTGCGGGTGGCTCACCGTGAAGGCCGGCAGCAGTGGCTGAGTGAACTTGGCCTTGAACGTGTGCAGCAGCTGTTTGGTGCGGGCATTGTAGAAGGACAGGAGGCCTGGCATGGGAAGCAAAGTCGGAGGCACAGAGTCAGGACTCGGCCGGGGGGATCGGGCCCCGGTGAGGAGGACAGAGGTGGCTGGGCCGCCGGTCACCTTGGTGGAAGTCACAGTGCACACCCAGGCAGTCGGGCGCGGGGGCGTCCAGCACCTTGACCTTGTTGGCGTGCTTGGCTGTGAAGCTGACCTGCAGCCAGTTGTTCACGTGCAGGCACCAGGACGCGGCCGTCTTGCCCAGCTGCTCGAAGCGGCCCAGGCTGCGGTAGGCCACGCCCACGCCGAACGCCTTGCTGTCCGGCTCGTAGCGCACCTCCCAGTAGTGGTCCCCGCCGTCGATGAGCGTGTCCCCTGGGGGGCCGGGTCAGGCGTTCCTCACCGGGTACCCCCTGCGCAGCCACAGCCGCAGGTGCCCTATGGGACCCCAGCGGCTCCCTCTAGGCGCTCCAGGCACTCCTGGGGAGCCCAAGGACCCCGCGAAGGCTCCGTTTGCTCCTTCGGGTTCTCCTCAGACCCCAGCTACTCCCCCACACTTCAACGCCCTCGGGGAAACTGAGCCCAGATACTCTCTATGCCTCCGTCTTCCTCTCAGATTCTGTCCAAGCCGAGCTGCTCCCTGCAAATACTTTCAAGTTTCAGCGTTCCTCCCCAGATGCCCTAGTTCTTCCCAGAAGCTGGATAACCCCGAGCTCTTGCTCCCGGCAGAATCCCCGTGCCCAGAGGTCTCAAGCTCTCCCTCCGCCTGGATAACTCCCTCATCCCCGGCTATGGTAGAATCCAGATACTCCCCAGGGCCGATTCCTTGCTGTTGACTGTTTTCTGAATCCACATCGAACTAGACCCTCATTTCTGGTGGAGGCCACGGATTCGCCTGTCTCAGCTCCTCCTGAGGACTACAGGTCCCCCGGGGGTTCCTCCAGCCCGTCACCCTGCAGGCTCCCACTCCTCCTGGAGCCCAGATACTCCGCCGACCTCACATACCCTCTCGGGGCACCCTCTGAGTTGTGCTACTCCTGTCATTGGCTCCACGCAGGCCTCAGATGCTCTCCGATCTCAGTGAACCCCTGAGCCACATCCTGTCTCCCCCAAATCTCAGCTTCTCCTTCCAGTCGCTTCAAGACGGCTATTCCTTGAGCTTCTGCTTCTCTGCTCTGCCCAGGTTCCTCTCTCCTTTCCAGAAACACTGCGCTTTCGCTCTCACTCTCTGTACCCCCATATCTCCTCCCTCCCCTCTCCTTTTATTTTTGTTTGGTTTGGTTTTTTGAGACAAGGTCTTACTGTGTAGCCCAGGCTGGCTTCAAATTTTCAGTGATCCTCCTGCCTCAGCCTCCCCGAGTGCTGGGATGATGGGGGTGTGCTGCCATGCCCTACCCTCACCTCCTCTTTCAACCCCAACGTACCTCATTTCTCTAGCTGTTTCCTAGACATTGGCCATTCTTCTGTACTCCAGTCCTTTACAGACCTACCTTCCCTTCACAGGATCGAATGGCCCCTGTGACGTTACTTTCTCCTCCCGCCCTACCCCTCTCGACTCCGTGACCTGGCTCCACCCACCCTAAGCTATTTTCCCAAACTCCTGTACATTTTGGGGTGGGTTTTGTTGTTGTTATTTTGTAGTACTGGGGGGTTGAAACCAGGGCCACTACACTGAGCTACAGCCTCATCCTTTTTAAAAAACTTGTAGACAGCGTCTTGCTAAGTCACCGAGTTACCCAGGCTGGGCTCGAGCTCGTGATCCTCCCTCCTCAGCCTCCCACAGGGCTGTGCCCAACCACGCCTGGCTGTAAACTCCTGTCCTGCTTCAGGCTCCCCCACAATCCCCGCTGCTCCACAGGCAAACTTTCTCTCCAGCTACTGCCCAAATCTTGGCTTCTCCACAGACCGGGAAATCCGCCTGTGCGCTGTCCTGACAGCTCCCCAGCCCACAGACTTGCTCTTTAGCCCCCCCTCGCACTCATCTCTCACCCCAAACACCCCACTCTTCCGTGGCGGGAACAATGCCTCTCACTGGGACCCCTCCCTCCAAAGCGTGGTGAGGCTGTCCACGTCCACCCCTCCCCAGAGCCCTGCCAGGGGAATCAGCCTCTCCCCCTCCCCTCCCCGCCTTACCCAGTACTGTGTAGGACTCAGCTGTGAACCGGTCCCGACCACCACGACCTGAGGGCATCCTCTTGGGAGATGGGGTACCTCTGTGGGTGGCAGGGAAGGGAAGACTCAGTTCAGGCCTCTCCTCTACATGAGAGGGCCTCTTTGGTCCACCCCAAACACCACTGATGTTTGGTTTGCCCCTGACAATATATAGTTGGCTCTTTTTGTACTCTGTGCCCTTCACAGTCCGGTTTGGAGAACTTTTATTCAACCATCAAAAGCCTACCCAAAATGCCCTCTTCCCCTCATTGACTTGGGACTCCTCCAACCCTAGGTTCCTCCCTCCATCCCAGAGGCAGGCTACCTGGCTGGGGAGTTGACAGGAGATGCCGTCCGCCCCTTGCCATCTTTCTCACGAGCCTTGATGTCCTGCACCTTCCCGCCCATAGCGTCCCACTCCACGGCAAGGTCGTCTACCCGCAGGTTCTGGTGAGATGTGGACGCGTCCAGGCGGAACATGAACGCTGGGGCCGGGCAGACGGGGGAGGTACAGAGATGGGAAAACCCAGAGAGACACAGAGAGAGACAGGCAGACAGCAATCCGGACAGACCAAGGCAGGGCCCGAAAACAGGAAAGACAAGAAGCCAGAGAGAAAGACAGGGAAACCCGGTGGCCAGACCGAGAAGGGCGAGGGATAAACAGGGCACCGGAGGATCGAGGGGCAACAGGAAGGTGCGCAGTGGCCAATCTCAGGACAGGGGCGGGCTCCGGCGGGCAGGAGCCAGGCCCGGCAGAAGAGGGACTCCCCAGCAGGAAGTGAAAGGTGTCACCGTGGGAGGTTGCAGAATGTTTTCACCACCGATATGTCGTCCCCCGCTATAAGAAGACTTAGCTATTCGGTAGGGGAGAAAGGAAGTGTGAGTGTGTGTGCGTGTGTGTGTGTGTGTGTGTGTGTGAGAGAGAGAGAAACATATAGATGCTGAGTGTGGTGGCACACACCTGTAATCCCAGTACTGAGGAGGCTGAGGCAGGAGAACTGTCATGAGTTTGAAGCTAGCCTGGACTACACAGTGAGTTCAAGACTAGCCTAGACTACATAGCAAGGGAAAAAACCCAAAACTTTCAGTTATAATGGGATCACTCTCAGAAACAAACAAACAAAACAACGCATGGCTTTAGCAAATACCATCCTAAGGAAGCCACTGCGGACTGAGCTTGGAGCTTCCTGGCAGCCAGGGCAACAAGGCCCACAGACCCATAACTGGAAGATTGTCCCGTCACACTGCTCCCTGGGGCATCAAGAGGGAGTGCACATGGAGACAGGGACAGGGAGGGGATGGGAGCCAGTCACCTGGTGTTTCGAGGGTCACTGGCTCAGAGAACTCCCCCGCAACCGCCTTGTTACAAGCCTTCACCCGGAAGTTCATGTACTTCATGTCAAATTTGAGACCTGGGAGGCAAGAGAGGGATGATAGGCGGCAATGTTGCACAGTCTCAGTTGTGACTTTGAGCCCTGATAAGAATCGATCACATTCCACAGTGAGGCCCCCACCCCTCATTCTTAGGAGCACCTTGTAAATAACATCTTATCCCTACAAAGCCGGTCTCTGCCCTTACCTACCCCGGGGCTTATGCATTGCTTGATCCCGCCTTCAGTCCAGAGCCACCAATCAAGATGCTCTATGACTGTCTCAGGGATTGGTTCAGAGACAGGCACATGACCCAAACTGGCCAATCAGTATTGGCCCTGGGACTTCAGTACTATGGCAAGCAGAGTAGCTGATCCTCCAGGCTAGGCCCACGCTCTCCTGGGAGAATCTGCAGGCGGGATTGGGAAGCACTTTGAAAAATGCTGCTCCCAGAGACACCATTTGCGGGGACCAATGTGACCGAGTCACTTGGGGGACATACATGGCTGAACATTCTCTCTACTGCGAGTAAACACCCTTTCCTTCCTTCCACTCATAATTAACATGTTAAACTTTTATCTATTTTTTTTCAGTACCAGGGATTGAACCCACAGCCTTTACACCGAGCTATATCCCAACCTTTTTATCATCATTACCATTATTAATTGTTTTTACTTTGAGATCGGTTCAGGCCAGGGATGTAGCTCAGTGGTACTGTGCTTGGAGGGCAAGTGCAGGGTCCTGAGTTTGATCCCCGGTACCACAAAAAAAACAAGATTGATACAGGTTCCCCAGGCTCTGCACACTAAGTACATGTTCCACCCCGAGCCACACCCAGCCGTCCAGCTAAAGCTCTTTGGCGCTGTCCACGGGTCCCCCCTCTCCCGCCTCAGCTCCCATCTCGCTGGGGCCCCCTGGCTGCCACAGCTGCCCTTCCTTGGGCCCACAGCACCGCTCTCTCCTAGCTTTCTAGCCGGCCCTTCCCCGCCTCTGGCTCCTCTATGGTCTTTTTTTAGGCTCCTCCTCCTCCTGCTAGCTTTTTACATCTGGTGCCCAGGCCTGAGTCCCTGCTCTCATGGTCCCCTTCCATCCATGGCAGCCACAGCCCACCTTGCTGCCTGGCCCTGGGTATACAGCTGCGTCCTGACTGCTGGCTCCCTACACGCCCACTCTGCAGGGATCTGAAACAGGAGCCTGGGCCCCACCACCACTACTGCTCTACAACCCTCTATACCTCCCTTTGCCCTCACCTTAACGTCATTTCTTTTTCTCACCTCTCTAAACTAACTAGATCTTCTGCCTCAACTCCTGCGAGAGTTCATAGTGTGCTCAGCAACAAACACCTACGTTCTCAGGCCAAGACAACCACCCACAAAGCTCAATTTCAGAAAGAGAGATCTAACTCCTGCCGTGCCTCAGTTTCTCTGGCTATGAACTGGCAATCACTGGCCCCACTGGGAGCAGGCCTCAGCCAACACCTCCTGCCCTTTTCATTTTTTATTCTGAGGCTAGGTCTCACTGAGTTGCCCAGGCTGGCCTCAAACTTGCAACCCCCCTGCTTCAGCCTCTTGAGTAGCTGAGATTACAGCTCAGCGCCCCCATGACCAGACTCAATGCACTTTCTGTTTACAACTGCTTGTGCATCTATAATTATTCCCAAACAAAAAGTCACAACAAAACAAAACAAAAGGCAGGAGGACTTGGAGGTGAGATTGTGAAATCTTATATAAAAAGAAAAATTAAAAGAGGCGTGTGTTTATTTTGGTTCCCAGGCAAAAGAGAAAAAAATAGATCTCAGACTCCTTGGCTGGCAGGCTGGTGATTTTTTTCCCCCTGCAATTAGCATGCTCATTATTAACCATGTATGCTAATTACAGATAACTAGGGTTGATTATAGCCTAAGAGTGAGCCCATGAACGTGATACTTATGTCTGTAAGACTCTATTGCCCGCAGGGCTTCCTGCCGCTCAGGAGGGCATCTGAAATTTGAAATTCAGGGAAGACCCTTGACTTTTCTGCCTTCAGATCCACCCATAAGCAGCTCCACGGATTCCATGTGCTTTTTTATTTCTTTCTTTTTTTTCTGAGACAGGGTCTGGCTATGTAGCTCAGGCTAGCCTGGAACTCACTATGTAGCCCAGGTTGGTCTCGAACTCATGGTAATCCTCCTTCCTCAGCTTCCTAAGTGCTAGGATTACAGGCGTGGACCACCATGTCCAGAGCTATTTAATGTCTTTTATAACAGCCAAGGAAATCACCCAGTACCTGGGGTTGTCCCTGGATGCCAACTCTAGGAGGCAAGAGATCTCACTGCTTTGCTGAAGGTTACAAGGACAGCATCTGGTCCACTGTAGATGCCGGGTAACTTATAAGGAATGCATAGCGCCTTACTTCCTGTACCTCAGTTTCCTCATTTGTCAAATGGTGACATATGCTGGGTGTGGTGGTGCACACCTGTCATCCCAGCACTCTGAGAGGCTGAGGCGGGAGAGTTCTAAATTGGAGGCCAGCCCCTGCAGCTCAGCGAATTACCAAGACCCCGTCTCAAAAATAAGACCCATCAGCAACAAGACAGATGGCTTCAGGGATGAAATGCGCTGGGCCCCCGGCCAGGCGAGCTCCTGACCTGTCAAAGTGTACTCCATGTGCCGGATGCCCTCCACCACCATCCAGGGCTGGTCCTCCTTGAGGCGCGGGGGGCCCTCAAAGTTGGTCCTGCGGTACTCCAGCACATAGTGGTCGATCTTGCTGTCCTCTTCCGGCATGCGCCACGCCAGGGTCACACAGTTATCTGCCACTAGGGACTCAGCTAGGTCGATCACAGGTGTGCTGGGCACTGCCCGGGACAGAAGCAGGGAAGGGAGGGACAGTCAAGGTTTTGGGGGGGGGGGGGGGGGCTTGCTGGAGCCCGCGCACCACGTGACAGCCTGTGGGCGGGGCCACTGGGTTCCACCCCGTGGAGGCTGCGCCTTTGGGTTTTGGGGACCAGGGGCTGGAGACTCCTCAGGGGTCCAACAAGGAGTGGGGTTTCGAGAGCTTCCTCAGGACTCAACCAACAGAGGACGGGTCCATCTCAAGATGCTACTATTTAGAGGCAGGATTTCGCCAAATTCTCCAGCAACTGACAGGGCCTCCTTTCCTTCCCTCCTTCCTCTTTTCCTTCCTCCCCGCCTGCCTTTCCATTACCGAGATGTAACCAGGGCTTTCTCACTGAACTACATTCCCTGCCCTCTCTGGTTTTTGAGACGGGGTCTCCTTAAATCACTGTTGTCCAGGCTGGGCCTGAGCTTGTGCTGGGAACACAGGGCCGCAGCCTGTATACAGGGGGCTAAGATCCCACCCACACAGGGGAGGAGCGACCTCAGGGACCGCCCAGTGGGAGGGGAGTGCTCGCAAGGCCCCACCCTCGTGCGGGACAAGGGCAGGCCCCCGGTGGGTGTTGCAGCCCCGGGGGACCTTCGTGGAGGGAGACACCCTCAGTCACCCTCAGTCCAGGACCCGGCTGAGCCTCCCAGCTGCGGGTCCATTTCCCTGCAATCCCGGCCCTCCGGCAGGTCTCCCTCTCACCAGGCAGAAACGTAAGGGCCTGCAGCATCTGACGCTCTTGCGCAAAGTCCACCATGAGGTGACTCATGTTGTCGCTGACCTTCGCTTTCAGTGACAGCCGGAAGGCAGGAGCCATTGTCACACTGCGGGGAAGGAGGTGGAAGCAGCCCGCTGACTGTCTCGGGTCGGGGGTCCCAGGCCTGGTCATCCGAGCCGCGTGTCCCGCGTTGGCGCCTGCGCTCTGGGCCCAGGTCCCCACCGTCACCGCGGTTAGGGCACGGGGTGGGGCCAGACCCAGCAGCTTACCTGTCTTTGATTTGCTTGGCAGCCTAGAGGAGGAACAGAGCGAATTTTTGGGTTTGTCTTCAAATCAGAAACTGGGTGAGGCCCTGTGACAGAGCCACTCCCCACAGACTGAGGCAGAAGCTCCTTCTTCTGGCCCTCCTTGAAGGGAGAAGGCGGCGCAGGCCCAAATCCACCCTCACCCCAGTCTCCTGCCAGTTCCCAGGCAAGGGCTGGGGATTTAGCTCAGCGGGTCGGTGACCTGCCTTGTAAGCGCAAGGACCCGAGTTCAATTCCCGGTACCAAAAAAAAAAAAAAAAAAAAAAAAAAATCGTGATAAATGTGAATTTCAAGTCATCAACGAATAATTTTTTAGTGTTAGTATGTCCTGAGCAATTTTTTTTCTTGTTTGCACTACTGGGGACAGAGCCCAAGGCCTTTGCACTAAGCTCCATCCCAGCTCATTTTACTTTTATTTATTTATTCTTTCATTAATTTTGTTTTGGTTTTGGTACCAGGTATCAAACTCAGGACCTTGCACTTGCCAGGTAGGAGCTGCACCTCGGAACTACATCCCTCCCCCTGTGTGTGTTTTTTGAGAGAGGGTCTCACTCTGTAGTTCAGATTGGCCTTGAACTCACAGCGATCCTCCACCATCTCTGGTGTTTTTATTTTGAAACTAGCTACATTGCCCAGGCTGGGTTTGAACTTGCAATCTTTCTGTTTCAGCCTCCCAGAGGTGCTGGGATGGCAGGCAGGCACCACTACACGCAGGAATGTTTGAGAAACACTGCTGCTAACTATTGCCCAGGTAGGCCATCCTTCCACTAAACAGCATAGGTGCAATTAAGCAGATATGCAAGTGTTACTGGGTGCACTGTATCTTGCCAGCAGCCCTGGGTGCCGCCTCACAGACGCCCACCTGGAGGAAGTCCTCATTGTCCGAAGCCTGCAGCGTGTGGTTGGCCACCTCCAGCAACTCCTCCGAACTCTCCAGGGCCCGGGTGCAGGCAGACAGCTGGTTCTGTAGGGCGAGAGGGTCCCATCAGCCCGGCACTGGGACTCTGCGCAGCCTCGAACCCTGCCAGGACCCCGTGCCCACCGTGGTCAGGATCCAGGGAACCCTGCCTTCTCCATCTCCAGGGAGGACAGGGAGGTTAGCGCTCGACCCTGGCTCCAGTGCCACAGAAGAATCACCCGGGGATCCCTTCCTTAAACCCTCAAACACCTGGGTCCACCTGAGCTCCTGGGCTCCACATTCCCTGGGGATGGGAACGTGGGATGTTAGGAAGCTCCGGGGAGGCTTGGATGCAGCTCAGGGGACCCCAGCCTGGAGTGTGGGAGAGCCCAAAGGAGCCGAGGGAGGTGTGTGAGTGGGGGTGAAGCTCTCCGATGGGGGGGTCGGGGCTAAAGGGACTCAGGGGAGGGGAAGGGAAGGCAGATGGTGACTGACAGGCCACGCCTGGAGGGGGCAGGGGAGAGGCCAGAGTCTGGGAGCACGGGGGTTGGAGGAAGACGCCCGGCTGCCTGGACTCCACTACCCCTGCGGGCAGCCGAGCCCCACACCTGTAGCTCATAGGTGCGGCTGGCACGGTCCTGCTTTATCTTCGTGAGCATGCCCTCCTTGAGCTCCTCCAGCACGGACAGGAGGGACTGGAACTCCTCCTCTAGGTCCTCCTGCACCTTGGTGGAGTTCGCCTGGATAGGAACGGCCGGGGTTGGCCAAAGCCCGGGATCAGAACGGAAGACTGAGGCCCGGGCACAACCACGGCTGGCCCTGCACATCAGCACCAACGGGCTGGGGCGCATGGTGAGCGGCTCCCCTCTTCCCTTACCTCCACGTTCAGCAGCATCTGCTTGAGGGAGTAGATAAAGCTCTGAATCTCTTCATTTTTCACAGCCAGGGTGGTAATGATCTTCCGCAGAGCCTCCTGCTCCATGAGTCACAAACGCACACACACAGACCAGTGACCCCTCCACAAAAAAGGCCTTAAACAGGTGGCTCCGCCCTGACTACCTCTCCTACCAGGTGGCCACTGTGGTCATCCCCATTTTATAGAGGAGCAGGGCAGGAGGTGGAGGCTCGGGGAGAGCTTCAGGGAAAGGACAGGGCTGAACCAGGTCTGCCCGCTGAGCACCCAGCCCGCAGCCCAGTCCAGCCCCTTTCATCTTACGGTTGAGCAAGAGACTGGGGGACGGGCCAGCCTAGGCGAAGACCGCCCAGAGGAAACAGGCTAGCCTGGGCAAGGGGCTATCCGTGCAAAGCAGACCCTAGGGGAGGCAGAGAGCTCGGGCTAAGGCTGGCCTGGGAGCAGGGGTGAGCTGAGAAGGGTTACTCTGAGGACGGGGTCCACCTGCGGACAGGATAAGGGGGTGGGATCACCTGGAGAAAGAAAGGGAGAACCGGAAAAGGAAAGGCCCCAGAGGCCAGGTAGGTGGGGAGGGGAAAATAGGGCTGGGAGGGATGTGCCCTGGACGCGGCCGGCCCGGGGTCTGGCTCCCCTTGGCTGGGGTCGCAGAGTGGGCGGGGCCAGCACTGCGGGACGGGGTCCACCTGCGGACAGGATAAGGGGGTGGGATCACCTGGAGAAAGAAAGGGAGAACCGGAAAAGGAAAGGCCCCAGAGGCCAGGTAGGTGGGGAGGGGAAAATAGGGCTGGGAGGGATGTGCCCTGGACGCGGCCGGCCCGGGGTCTGGCTCCCCTTGGCTGGGGTCGCAGAGTGGGCGGGGCCAGCACTGCGGACTGC